GTTGCACTGTGCTGCAGCAACTGGCGCTGCTTGCAACCGCTTGAATTGTTTATTTTTAATTTATATTAATTAATTATTATTTATTTATTTATTAATTTATTAATTTATTTATTTATTTATTTTATTTTTATTTTGTCAACAGGAAGACAAAGATGACGAAGACATCGAAGCCCTCATTCCGAAAAGAGGAGTTGTGCGGATAAGCCGGAGGCTGCGATGAGCTGCTGGCCAAACAATGAAAGAAATAAACAAATTTAAAAGTTTATAATTAATTAATTAATTAATTAATTAATTAATTAATTAATTAATTAATTAATTAGTTCCAATTAATTAGTGCAACAATTAAGTAATTACTCCGCAAAAACCAACGACAGCGGACAAGAGGGCGGCCACCTGCTGCAGCAGGGGCCCTGTAGTTCATTTATAGCCCAGCAGCTAGCTGGCCAGCTAGCTAGCTAGCTAGCTGGCCAGCTAGCTAGCTAGCTAGCCAGCTAGCTAGCTAGCTAGCTGCAGAGGTTTAGGATTTATGCCGTGGCAGGCGACCACCTCAAGACGCGCCGCCCGCAGCTCACCAGCAGCCCAGGTGCTGTGGCTAACTTGGGCCTGAGAAGAGCTAGCGAACTAGCTAGCTAGCTAGCCAGCTAGCTAGCTAGCTAGTTAGCTAGCTGGATGGCTAGCTTGTTTGCTAGCGGCTGGCTGGCTAGCTAGCTAGCTAGCTTTTTGGCTAGGTGACTGGCTAGCTGGCTAGCGAGCTAGCCTGTTAACAAGCTGGCTAGCTAGCTAGCTAGCTAGCTAGCTGGCTAGCTAGCCAGGCTTTGGCGGGCGGATTTGCCGAAACGAATTTATTTACTGGAAAAGAGAGTTGCAGGAAAAGTGGAAACAAATAAATAAATAAAAGTGATGAAAAAGAAAAAATGCAAATAAGAGAAAAGGGAATTCAGTTTGAATCAGAAACTTAAAAGTAAAAATTATAAAAGAGGAAACAATTAAATGCAAAAGAGGCAAAAGGGCAAACAAATGTAGAAGTGGAGGGGCGCTTGAACTAACCCTAAACCCTAAACCCTAAACCCTAGAAAGCATCAGAAAAGTAAAGATAGCAGATCATAGCAGACAAACAAATGAAGAGGTAAAGGGAAAAATAAATGAAGAGATAAAGAGAAATAAATAAATAAATAAAAGAAAAAGTAAGAAGATTAGGAGACACAATTGGCACCCAAAGAAGTAAAGACTGAGCCAGAAGGCTCCTGTGGGACGTAACGCTAAACCCTAAACCCTAAACCCTAAACCCTAAACCCCAGACCCTATAGCGACGCCTAGCAAAGGGCCTCCAGCCCGCGGTTCCAGTATCCAAAGGGGCCCCCACGCCGCCCTCAGGGGCCCACAGGGGCCCCCCATGGGGGCCCCTGGGGGCCCCTATGGGGGCCCCCAGGGGCCCCCATGGGGCACCCGACGGGGCCCCCAGGGGCCCCCATGGGGCCCTCCGCGGGCCTCTATCTGGGGCCCCTAGGGGGCCCCACACCTGCGTAGGGTACAGACTAAGTGGGCTTTTCTCCTACGGGCGTTTCAACAGGATTTGGGGCCCACAGGGGCCCCCAAGGAGGGCCAAAGGGTACACAAGGGGGCCCCCGGGGGGCCCCCTGGGGCCCCTAAACCCCATATTGTGGTCTAAATAAACAAAGGGTTTGGGGTTTGAGCTGATGAGTAAATGGAGAGGCAAATAAAAAGACAAAAAGTTAAGTTAAAAGGAGCGCTAAGGGCCCTTCGGAGGTTTACAGGCCTCACTGAAAAGCTCCAAACCCTAAACCCTAATTGGGGGTCTCCCGGAGCTAAACTTGAGAAGTCGCAAACCCTAAACCCTAATTAGGGGCCCCCGAGAGCCAGAGCTTGTGGGGTGGGAGGTTGGACTCTGTTTCATGCGCAGAGAGGAACTCATCCTCAGCCTCCTGCTGCTGCTCCTGCTGCTCCTTCTGCTGCTGCTGCTGCTGCTGCTGCTGCTGCTGCAGCTGCTGCTGCTGCAGCAAAGTTGGGGGCTCGTTCTCTATGTTTGCGAGGCTTTCGCTCAAGGTGGCAGGGGGAGGCAGCGCGCGCCTGCAGGCCCGCAGCAGGCAAACCCTAAACCCTAAACCCCAAACCCCAAACCCTAAACCCTAAACCCTCAGGCCTCAACCCAAACCCTTTTGGAGTACCTGCACTTCTCCATTTGAGAAAGATAAGAACAAAAAGAAGCTTCAATTTGCTGCTGCGCTTCTTCGACTGCCAGCAGCAGCGCAGCGTGGCGCTCGCGCTTCCGGTGTATGGACAGCTGCAGCTGCTGCTGCTGCTGCTGCAGCAGCCGAATGAACTCCTGCAAGCAACAAACAGAAGCAAAAGGGGCAGCCAAACCAGCTGACAGAGCAGCAGCAGCAACAGCAGCAGCAGCAGCAGCAGCTGCAAGTGCAGCAGCAAAGGCGCCAGCAGCAACTGCAGCAGCAGGAGCAAACGCAGCAGCAGCAACTTAGACAGCAGCAATTAAGTAGCAGCAACGGCTGCAGAAACATTAGCACCAGCAGCAGCCATTGCAGAAATATCGACACCAATAGCAACTGCAGCAGCAGCAGCTTCAGCAGCAGCAGCAACTGCAGCAGCAGCAGCAACTGCAGCAGCAGCAGCACCTGCTGCGCCGGCAGCGAGCTCCAGAATGATTCGGCCTCCTCTTTGGCTTGCTGCACCCTCTCTCTGAGTTCCCTTGATAAGATGCTGCACTGCTCCTCTTCCCGCAGCAGCAGCTGCTGCTGCTGCTGATACTCCTGCTGCAGCTGCTGCTGCTGCTGCTGCAGCTGCTGCCGCCGCTGCTGCAGCTCCTTCTGCGTCTTTTCGCAAGCGCGCAGATCTTGCCTTGCCGCCACACATGGCTGACAAACACACAACAACAAGAAAATCTAAACCCTAAACCCTAAACCCTAAACCCTAGGGAATAAGCTTTTCCCTGCAGGGTCCCATTGGGGGCTCTTTAGAGGCCCCCAGGGGCCCCATGGGGCCCCACGCACGGCCCCAAGGGGCCCCCTGGGTCCCCTTAGGGTCCACCCGGGGGCCCCCAGGGGGGCCCCTGTACCCTTATTACAGGGGCCCCCAGGGGGGCCCCTGTAGGTTTATCAATAAGCCTACAGGGGCCCCCAGGGGGGCCCCTGTAGGCTTATTACAGGGGCCCCCAGGGGGGCCCCTGTAGACTTATTACGAGGGCCCCCAGGGGGGCCCCTGTAGGCTTATTACGAGGGCCCCCAGGGGGGCCCCTGTAGTCTTATTGCAGGGGCCCCCAGGGGGGCCCCTGTAGTCTTATTGCAGGGGCCCCCAGGGGGGCCCCTGTAGTCTTATTGCAGGGGCCCCCAGGGGGGCCCCTGTAGGGTTTTGAGGATTACCTCTAAGTGATTGCGCTGGTGGTCTGTTAGGATTCTTTCAGCCTTGAGGGCCTTCTTTAGGGCCCGAGCAACTTGCTGCTGCAGCAGCTGCTGCTGCTGCCGCTGCTTGCTGAGGCTGCTGAGGCGCGCGTCTTGTCTTCGCTGCTCCTCCTGCAGCTCCAGCCGCTTCTGTCTCAGCTGCAGCAGCAGCAGCAGCAGCAGCAGCAACGCAGCTGCAGCAGCGGCAGCGAAGGCAGTTTAAGCAGCAACGACAGCAGCAAAAGCAACTGCAGCAGCAACAGCGGCGGGAAACAAAGCAGCTGCAGCGGAAACAGCAGCGAAAGCAGCAGCAACAGCAGTCAAGGTAGATGCAGCAGCAGCAGCAGCAGCAGCAGTGCCCCCAGCAACGCATGCCGCACCAGCACTCTCAGCAACAACTGCAGCAGCAACTGCAAGAGCAGCAGCAGCAAAAGCAGCAGCTAACGCAGCAGCAGCAGCAGAGAATGCAGCAGCAGCTGAAGAGCCTCCAGCAGCTAATACAGCAGCAGCAGCTAACGCAGTAGCAGCACAGGCAGCAGCAGCTAATGCAGCAGCAGCTAATGCAGCAGCAGCAGAAGCAGCAGCACTTACTTTGTTTGGGCTGTGTACGATCTGGTCCATGTAGTCTTCCCGCTGCTGCTGCAGCCGCAGCAGCTCTTGTGCTGCTTCCTGCAGCTCCTGCCGCAGCCGCTGCTGCTGCTTCTGCTGCAGGCTCCTCTTGTCTTCGGTGCTGCGCAGCTCCACTTCAAGCGAAGACACCGCTGCAGCAGCAGCAGCAGCAGCAGCAGCAGCAGCAGCAAATCTTGAGAATGCACTACGGCGCGCCGCAGACGCACAAGCAGCAGGAACGGTGGCAGGCGCAGCAGCAGCAGCTGCGTCCAAAGAAGGAGCAGCAGCACTGGTGTCAGCAGCAACAGCAGCAGCAGCAGCAGCAGCAGCAGCAGCAGCTCGTACTGTTTCTTAGCGCCTGCAGCTCTTTGTGGAGAAGAGCTGCGTGCTGCTGCTGAGCGTCTCTGTCGGCTTTGAGCTGCTGCAGCTGCTGCTCTGTCTGGCGCAGCTGCAGCAAAACAACAACCCAAAGCCCAGCCAAGAGCTTGCAGCAGCAGCAGCAGCAGCAGCAGCAGCAATGTCAGCGGCAGCGAGAGCAGCAGCAGCAGAGACATGCAAGAAGAGCCCCCATTCCCTCTAATCCACAGAAACAAGCAGCAGCAGCAACCTCCGCAGCAGCAACAGCAGCAACCGCAGCCGCAGCAACCGCAGCAGCAGCGCCCCCTGCAGCAGCAGCAACCGCAGCAACAGCAGCCGCAGCATCAGCGGCAGCAGCAGCAGCGCCCCCTGCAGCAGCAGCAACCGCAGCAACAGCAGCCGCAGCAGCAGCAGCAGCAGCAGCACCTCGTCTTCCGCCCTTGCTGCTGCCAGCTGGTGCTGCTGCAGCGCCTCAGCCAGCGGCAGCGCAGCAGCAGCAACAGCATCTCTAGCAGCTAAGAAGCAGCAAAGAGCAGCAGACAGCCGCAGCGCAGTTTGTGGGGTGGGGGAGAAGACAAAGGCTCTGCTGAAGTCCGCCAGCCCCAGCACTCCCCTGCGAATAAATAAATAAATAAATAAATAAATAAATAAATAAATAAATAAATAAATAAATAAATAAATAAATAATTTATTTATTTATTTATTTATTTAAAATTAATTAATGGCCGAGATGGAGATACAACTTGCAACTGAAAAGACACAGGACACGGCGCATGGCGGTCCAAAAGGGTTTAGGGTTTAGGGTTTAGGGTTTAGGGTTTGCACTTGGCCAGCTTCTGGCTGCCGGAAGGGCCTAGGGTTTAGGCTTTAGGGTTTGGGAAGCCAAGCAAGCTTGGGGGCTGGGGTTTGCACTTGCTAGCTCTTAACAAAGGGCCTAGGCCTTAGGGTTTAGGGTTTAGGGTTTAGGGTTTAGGGTTTGCACTTGGCTAGCTTCTGGCAGTATCGAAACCAGCGAAGGTTCCCGATGCCCTTCAGGTGGGTGCGGCCCTCCAGAGTCAAGAAGGGGCGGCTGAGCAGCAAAACCAAATAGCAAGTAATAAATAATGCAGCAGCAGCAGCAGCAGCAGCAGCAGCAGCAGCAGCAGCAGCAGCAGCAGCAGCAGCAGCAGCGCAGCAGCAGCAGCAGCAGCGCAGCAGCAGCAGCAGCAGCGCAGCAGCAGCAGCAGCAGCAGCAGCAGCAGCAGCAGCAGCGCAGCAGCAGCAGCAGCAGCAGCAGCAGCGCAGCAGCAGCAGCAGCAGCAGCAGCAGCAGCAGACCTGTCGGGCGCAGCAGCCTTGGCCTCGCCGGCAGCTTCTTCAACTCGAATTTGTGTCAGTGAAAGTCCAAAAACAAATTTAATTGCTGCTGACAGCAGCCCCTGGACTTCTTCGGCCTGCGGGCTTTTCCAGAGGCTTTCGGGGCACTCCAGCCCGCGCCGCAGCAGCTCGCGCTTCACTTCCTCCGCCCCCATCCTGCTGCTGCTGCTGCTGCTGCTGCTGCTGCTGCTGCTGCTGCTGCTGCTGCTGTGGGTGCCCGCGAGGGGGCCCTCAGCAGCAAAGAAGGAAGTCGCCCGCTGCTGACGCACTGGGGAAGACGCCCCGCCGAAGCCGCACGCAGCAGCAGCAGCAGCGGAGGCCAGCAGCGGCTGCTGCTGCTGCTGCTGCAGCTGCTGCAGCGGCTGCAGCGGCTGCTGCTGCTGCTGCTGCAGGAAGGGCTTCGGACCGCCCGAAAAGGAGAAAAAATTGTATGGGGGCGCGGGGCGAGAATAAGGCAGCAAGCTCGGCTGCTGCTGCTGTGGCAGCTGCTGCAGCGGCTGCTGCTGCTGCTGCTGCTGCTGCTGCTGAGCCGACTGATGCAGAGGACTCATACTCGGCACAGGCGGAACGCTAGCTGCTGCAGCTGCTGCTGGTGTTGCGGCTGCTGCTGCTGCTGCTGCTGCTGCTGCTGATGGTGGAAAAGAAGAGGCAACGGGAGACGCCAGGCCAGAAAAACCCCGAGGGGGCGGCAAACTGGATGGAGCGGGATAGAGAGATTGCTGCTGCTGCTGCTGCTGCTGCTGCTGCTGCTGCTGCTGCTGGGGCATCTGGAGCTGCTGCGCTGCGAGCCCCCGGAAAGCTTGCTCAGTCGGCTGCTGCATCAGCTGCTCGTGCGGCTGCTGCGGCTGCTGCAGTTGCTGCTGCAGCTGCGGCGGTTGCTGCTGCTGCAGCAGTTGCAGCTGCTGCTGCGCACTGGGCCCTGCCATTCTTGGAGCGGAGGGCGGAGGCCAGCCGAAGCCCTAAACCCTAAACCCTAAACCCTAAACCCTAAGTTCGAGCCCCCACGCACTGCTGGGGAGCAGCAAGAGGCACGTCTCTGTGTTTCTCCCCATCTGGGTCACTGCACGGAGCGACGAAACAGCAGCAGCAGCAGCAGCAGCAGCAGCAGCAGCAGCAGCGGGGGCCCCCCGAGGGACTCGGAGGGCGCGAAAAAAAATTGTGAGGGCCCCTACCTACGAAAGTTGACTTTCATAAATTGCATGCAATGCGAGGTAGCTTCTGCTGCTGCTGCTGCTGCTTTTTTGCTTCTGCTGCTGCTGCTGCTGCTGCTGCTTGTAGTCTGTGGTGTACGTGCGTGTTCGGGTCGGTGGCTCGGGAAATGCGAGGGCTAGGTGTGGGGCCCCTTCCCGCAATTGCGGGGGAATTAAAGGGGAAAAAGACAAGAAAAAGTTAATTAATTAATTAATTAATGAAAAATCGAGGAAAAATGGGGCAGGGGCCCCCAACTGCGAGGAATGGCAGCTGCTGCAGCCCCAGGGTACCAGCAGCCACACCGGGTCTGGGGCCCTCCTGGGGGCCCCCAGACTGAATTAATAATTTAAAAAGTACCCTTTTTCGATTTCAAATTTATTTTGCCTTTTCAGACTCTTTTCAACGCATCAAGGAGCCACCCGGGGGCCCCAGTTAGCCCCAGCCCTTGAAGTTAATGGGGGGCCCCCAGACCCTCTTGCCTGTTCCCCTGGGGGCCCCCTCTGCCGCAAACTGGATCTCCTTTTAGAGAGACCCGAGCCCTAACTATCCCTTCTGTGTGTGTGATATCCTCTTGGCATTATGGTTAAGGGTGTAGGGTTTAGGGTTTAGGGTTTAGGGTTTAGGGTTTAGGGTTTAGGGTTTAAAGTTTAGGGTTTAGGGTTTAGGGTTTAGGGTTTGGGGTTGCGTCCTGGGAGCTCGCAGCAAATTATCAGGCCCGAGTAATGGGGGCAGAAACCCCGCAACTAATATGCAGCAGACGAGCCCCCGATTGGGGGGCCCCCTAGGGGGCCCCCTTGGGGGCCCCCAAGGGGGCCCCCCAGGGGGCCCCTTAGGGGGCCCCCACGGGCTCCCAGGGCCCCTGCTAGTCCGCAGCCGCTGTCTCAGGGGCCCCCAGGGGCCCCTCGTTTTGCTGCTGTTTCTTTTATACGCCATAGCTGGGGCTGGGGCCATCCGCATGCACGGGGGCCCCTCGGGGGCCCCCTCGGGGGCCCCCTTGGGGGCCCCCTTGGGGGGCCCCCCTCTGGGGGCCAGTTCCCTAGGTCGTGAGGGGCATCTGGGGCCCCCCGCAGCATTCCTGTTGAGTGCAGCAGAGCTGCGGGGGGCCCCCAAGTGTTCATCTGGGGCCAGGGGGGCCCCCAGAACCCACATGGGGGGGCCCCCCTGCATTCAGGGGGCCCCCCCAGGCCTGCGGGGGCCCCCCTGCATGCAGGGGGCCCCCACAACCCACATGGCTGTGCAGCTAATTGCTGCCCGGGAGCTTGGGGGGCCCCCCCTGCTGCTGCCTGCCGTTTGCAGGGGGGGGGCTCTTGCTGCAGCAGCAGCAGCAGCAGAGGGGGGAGCCCAGCAGCAGCCCGCAGCAGCAGCAGCAGCAGCAGCAGCAGCAGTTCCTGCTGCTGCTGCTGCTGCTGCCTGCAGCATAGACCCGCAGTGCATGCAAGCAGCAGACTTGTACGCGGACTCCATTTGGCTGGCAGATCTGATAGAGCAGCAGAAGAGGGCCCCCCTGGCCAGGGGGGCCCCCCCCCCTGCTGTGTGGCAGCTACTTAGCGGCAAAAGGGTGCAGCAAACCCTAAACCCTAAACCCTAAACCCTAAACCCTAAACCCTAGGCAGTGGGGCGGCGCAGCGTCATCTCCTCTTGCTTTGCAGCTTCAGGCGGGGGGGCCCGGGGCCGCCTGCGGCTGCAAGCGAGGGCCTCGCACAACTCAAGGCTTAGGGTTTAGGGTTTAGGGTTTAGGGTTTAGGGTTTAGGGTTTAGGGTTTAGGGTTTGCGCGCAGCTGCTGAAAAGGCTGGTGGTGGAGGGCGAGGGCGAGGAAAACCCTTCTTTAAACAGCGAAGTTGTTTTGGAGTTTTGTTTAATGACAATTAAGGGTTTGAAGTTGCTGGACAACAAGTCTTTAAATGCTGAGTTCATCCAAGTGCCCCTTGTCAGCCTAAACCCTAAACCCTAAACCCTAAACCCTAAACGCTAAACCCTAAACCCTAGGGGTACCCTACTCCAGGCCCGCTGGGCAGCAGCCTCATGAAGCAGACTCTACGCCCACTCCGAAACCCCAACTCAAACCCTAAACCCTAAACCCTAAACCCTAAACCCTAAAAGACCCTAAACTCTAAAAAACCCTAAACCCTAGACCCTCTCGGCAGCTGCTCGCAGCAGACAGCACTGGGGAGGGCTTCGTTTGCTGGCCTTAGAGCTCGCCCTAGCAACATCAGCTCAGGCTCAAGGGTCTAGGGTTTAGGGTTTAGGGTTTAGGGTTTAGGGTTTAGGGTTTGAGTGCTGCAGGCCAACACGGCTCCCGGCATTCGGGAGGCCGTGTTGACTATGCGTCACAACGAAAGAGCTCTCTTTCTTTTATCTCCTTCTTTATCTCTTCCAGAAGCAGCAAATCTTTTGCTGCCTTTTAATGCAACAGCAGCAGCAAGAGAAATGGGGGGCCCCCAGGGGCCCCCCGAGGGCCCCCAGGGGCCCCCCGAGGGGCCCCCGTGGGCAGCAGCAGCTTCGAGGCCCCCCCCCCTGCCTCTGGACCAGCAGGACCGGATCAAGCGGCTGCAGCAGCGGCTGCAGCAGATGCAGCAGCAGCTGCAGCAGCAGCAGCAGCAGCTGCAGCAGCAGCAGCCACTGGGGGCGCAAGACGCCGTGGAGCTGACGGGCAGGGAATGGCTCATGTGCGTAGACATCCCCGATGCGCAGCAGCAGCTGCTGCAGCAACAGCAGCAGCTGCAGCAGCTGCTGCAGCAACAGCAGCAGCTGCAGCAGCTGCTGCAGCAGCTGCTGCAGCAGCTGCTGCAGCTGCATGGTAGCAGCGGAAGCTGCGCAATGGCAGCTGGAACCTTTGCGCGTACTTTTCGGGGCACTGCGCCCTACCGCGCTGCTGCTGCTGCTGCTGCTGCTGCTGCTGCCGATACTGCTGCTGCTGCTTTTAAAGCCCTTCTCACCACTTCTAGCCGCTTCGATTCCAGCCTGCTTGCCTGCCACTCCACTGCTGCAGCTGCTTCTACTACTACTCTTGCTGCTGCATTTGCTGCTGCTTTTGCTGCCTCTGCTGCTGCTTCTGCTGCTGCTGCTGCTGCTGCAGGCTGGATATGACACTGTGCAGCTTCCACGAGCGCGGGACTCGGTGGTGGGGCGTTGCGCCCGACGAAATGGAGGAGCAGCTGCTGCAGCAGCAGCCGCAGCAGCAGCAGCAGCAGCAGCAGCAGCGGCAGCTGCCGCTGCAGCAGCAGTTTCCTGTTGAGGAAATACCCGATGGGCTAACAACAAGAGATGTCGTTGAGGCGAAGACAGATATGCTGAAGCAGTCTATACACGTAAGTCCTAAGCCCTAAACCCTAGCCGCAAACCCTAAACCCTAGCCGCAAACCCTAAACCCTTGCTGCACACCCTAAACCCTAGCCGCAAACCCTAAACCCTAGGCACAAGCCCTAAACCCTCGCCGGCGCCCCTGCGTGGAGGCCTTGCCGCTGGCTTATCCATCCCGAGCTTCCCTGGGCTAAGGGCCGCAAACCCTAAACCCTAAACCCTAAACCCTAAACCCTCATTTTGTCTCAGGACGAAATGGCCAGCAACCCTCAAAGCCCCCTGTGGGAGGACTTGCAGCCGCAGCTCACGAAGGCGCACAAGCAGCAGCAAGCAGGTCAGCGAAATTTATTTTGAATTTATTTAAAACATTTCATCAAATTAATTTTAATTTTATTTTTATTATTCAATATAAAGATGGCAAGAAAAAATAAACAGCCTCCGGGGCCTCGGGGCTTCCTGCTGCTGCAGCATTTGCAAGAACGTGTGGCTCTTTGGCGGCTGCTGCTGCAGCATTTCTCGAGATCTTTGAGACTAAATGTGCAGAAATTTGGGATTTATTGTTTTATTTGGAAGCTTTTTAATTCTTTTATGCAAAAAGAATTCGCAAAAGACTGCAGTGCATGCATTTGCTGCATTTTGTGCTGCTGAATCTGTATGAGTATTGCCTGTATTTGAAAATTCGGATTTCTGCACATGTGCATGCGCGCATGTATACATAAATTTATACAAATACAAGTATAAATATAAATATAAATATAAATATAAATATTAATATAAATATAAATATAAATATAAATATAAATATAAATATAAATATAAATACGAGTGCAGCTATGAATGTAAATATGAATGCATGTGTGTACATGTTTGCAAGTCTTAATGCACATTCACATGCATGCACATGCACATGCACAAATGCACACAAAAATACTATTTTAAAGATATTATATTTGAATTATATTCAAAGACTTGAACATAAAAATGTGCACGCGTAAATACTATATAAGTGGTATTATATTTGAATTATTTTTGAACATCTGGACTTTTAAATGCGCGAGCATAAATACTATTTAAAGGGTATTACATTTGAACTATATTTAAGCATTTAAACATTTAAATGTGCACACATAAATAATATTTAAAAGGCATTATATTTGAATTATATTTAAACATTGAAAAGCATTTAAATGTGTTTGTTCGTTTACACTTCGGGGGTTTCCTGTGGGCAAGCCAGCGAGCGGCTGCGGGCATTTCGGCTCCCGATCTGAAGCGAAAGCATGCAGAAAAAGCGGATCTTCGAGACAAAAAGGAAAATTAAAGTATTTAAAAAGATAAAATAATTTATTTGAGTCTTTTCGCCTTTTAAACAGACTATTTCGAAGACTTGCACGGGCTGAACACCCCAGAAGACCCCAGCCTCTGCGGCTCCAGAGGGTACCTGGAGCACCGCCTGGGGGCCCCCCTCAACGCCGGCGGCTACGAGGGGGGCCCCCGCATGCAGGGCATTTCTTCTGTTTATGGTTGGCAAGAAACAAATGGGGCTTTTGAACTTGCTTTGCTGCTGAAAAGGGGAATCCGGAGAGAGCACCTGGCTGTGGAGCTCAGGCCGCGGCACTTCCGGCTCAAAGTTCTCGGAAAAACGGCAAGTTCCTGCTGCTGCTGCACCTGCTGCTGCTGCGCCTGCTGCTGCTGCACTTGCTGCTGCTGCTGTGGGGTCTGTTGCCGTGGGGGCCCTGCTTTTGCGCGCGCTGCCCTGGAGCCTGCTTCTGCTGCTGTCCTGCTGCTGCTGTGCTGTTGTTATCAAGCTGCTGCTGCTGTTGTGCTGCTGCTCTTGTGGTGCTGCTGCTGTTCTGCTCCTACAGCTGCTGTTCTGCTGCTGCTGTGCTGCTGCCATTGTGCCGCTGCTGCTGTTGTGCTGCTGCTGCTGCTGCGCTGTTTGTGCTGCTGCATGCTTAACCTTGCTACCGCTGCTGCTGTGGAGCCTGCTGCTGCTGCTTTTGCTGCTGTGGGGGGAGAATGGGGGGCGCCTGAGGCATTTGCTGCTGCTGCTGCCTTTGAAGTGCTGCTGCGATCGCTGAAGCTCCTGCTGCTGCTGCTGCTGCTGCTGCAGCTCATATATATGTACACATATAAATAAATATATGAATTGGTTTAATGTATATATACTCGCAATAAATATAAATGTTAGTAAAAGACATTTTGCCGCAATTGGATTTTCTTTAATGCTGCATGCGCTGCAGGTCTTTGAGGATTCTTTTCTTTACACTGTAGACG